CTCTGGGGTGGATCCCGACTTTGAAGTCTGGATATTTCCCCAGCCTGGACCGCTGAGTGAAGTCAGCCAACAGTGTGCTTCAGCCCGCTGACAGCTGAAAATGGGTCACATTAGTGCAGAACTAAATGCACTCCTGCGATCCACAGGAGAAGCACAGCCAAGAGAGCTTTGGCTGTACTTCTCCTTTAAATCATCATGTGCAGGAACATTGTCGTGTTGGAGAATCCACTTATCAGGCCAGAGTTCTGGTCTTTTCCTCCAAACCGTCTTGCAACCTTTTCATTCTCCACATTTGCATCAGTCCTTTGGTTTTTTGGCTGTCCACTTCTTGTGTCATCATAGGCATCTTCCCGGCCCTCCTTCAACTACCTATGTTATTTAAAAACACTTGATTTCTTCCTGAAAACCTGTTGTAACAGAGCTAAAATTTCACTCACATTTTTGCCAATTTTCATGCAAAATGGGAGGTTAATTTGCAGCTTCAGATTCCTGTCACTCGTTTTCCTCCAACAGCGCAGAGCACACACGTGTTATTTCTTCTACTACTCCGTAAAGATGGACTTAACTGGTCTGCAACCCAGGAGAGTGCAGGTTAGAACACACTCGAGTGGGAATGGCTGCATGACTCGCCACCATTACTGGAACTGAATTGTCGCAGCTCGTACTTAAATCCCTGGATGCACAGAAGCAGCGTCCAGGGATTTATGTATGCATAAATTATACCCGGCTACAGCGATTGTCCAGCCATTCATAATTGTGAGTGGCTGCATAGCTGCTGTTAGAAACCATGGGGCCCCATAGAGCCAACCTGACAAGCCCCCCCTGGCCAAAAAACCCCATAGTTTACTATGCTTCAGTTATGAATGAACACACGAATGATCAGTACCGATCACTCATTGTGTTCATTCAGGACAAGAGGCTGGGAAATGTGACATATTTAGCGGACGCTTCCCCCACTCTCCATCCTGAAGAATCCTATTGTGTGCTGGTAGCTGCCAGTGGGAAGGAGAGGAGGGAAGCCAGCAGCACTGCGGAGATGGGGGCATACAGGGGGGGCCTGGGCAGCAGGGGGAAAAATATGGTGCACAGGGAGGGGATGGGTGCAGCGGGAGCGGGGGGCAAATAGGGGAACCAATCCCCTGTATGGCTTTCTCTGCAGCATCTGAAAAGCCGGACGGAGGGAGAAGAGAAGAAGGAAGCTTTCAGCTGTTGCAGAGGGAGCTATATAGGGGATTAGTTCCAGTAATTTCCCCCCGCACTGTGCCAATCACCCTCCCTGCCCACATCCGATTTGCTCAGCTGCCTGGGCTCCCCCCTGCTGGCCTGGGTCTAATACAGCAGGACTGGTGGTACCCCCTTATCCACAGCCCTGGATGCTGCAGCTGTGTCTATAAAGTCACAAGTGGGTTTAAAAACAGGCTACACGTATGATCTTTGTATGGAGGTTGATTTGTACCAGTGTCTGCAGGCATGTCTGGATATCTTCAGTATTCTACAGGAAATACGCCCCCAGATAACACAGTACAGCTTCATGCTCCCACGTGTATAAGTCCTTCAATTCAAAGCACATACGTTTTACCCAAAATCCTTCCCAAATCCTATTTTCACAGCTTACATGTTCCAAGAGACTGCCTTTTTGAGATCTCCCGTTACATGAGACTGACATCTACCAGATGTGCGTTTCTAGAGAATGTCATGAATCCTGCCATGTTGTAAGAGACTGCTGTTACTTAAAGTGAACCTGCTTGACTCCATCAGAAGGGGAAGTTCCCTAAACACGGCCCTATATTGTGACAATAGGTACAGGTACTCCCCCCTTCTGAGTCAACCCAGTCTGCACCCCCTACCCACCTCCGAGCACTGTCCCTTGATTCCATCCCATACCCAACTCCTAGTACTGCCCCATTTTGTGATGCTGAGTAATTAGTATGGAATTTGTTATGGATAAGGAAAGCAGTAAAATAGATCCCTTGCAGCAAGAAATAATAGATCCCCCAGCAACAATAGATCTCTACAACAAATTATCCCCCCCCATAACAATAGAACCCCACCAGCTTCAATACATGCCTTGAAAAAGTATTCATACCCCTTGAAATTTTCCACATTTTGTCATGTTACAGCCAAAAACGTAAATGTATTTACTGTCCCCCAGTGTAAGTTGACGACTCTCCTACTGGCCCCCAGTGTAAGTTGACGACTCTCCTACTGGCCCCCAGTGTAAGTTGACGACTCTCCTACTGGCCCCCAGTGTAAGTTGACGACTCTCCTACTGGCCCCCAGTGTAAGTTGACGACTCTCCTACTGGCCCCCAGTGTAAGTTGACGACTCTCCTACTGGCCCCCAGTGTAAGTTGACTCTCCTACTGGCCCCAGTGTACGTTGACGACTCTCCTACTGGCCCCCAGTGTACGTTGACGACTCTCCTACTGGCCCCCAGTGTACGTTGACGACTCTCCTACTGGCCCCAGTGTACGTTGACGACTCTCCTACTGGCCCCCAGTGTACGTTGACGACTCTCCTACTGGCCCCCAGTGTACGTTGACGACTCTCCTACTGGCCACCAGTGTACGTTGACGACTCTCCTACTGGCCACCAGTGTCTCCGTTGGCCCCCAGTGTACGTTGACGACTCTCCTACTGGCCACCAGTGTGTACGTTGACGACTCTCCTACTGGGCACCAGTGTACGTTGACGACTCTCCTACTGGCCACCAGTGTACGTTGACGACTCTCCTACTGGCCACCAGTGTACGTTGACGACTCTCCTACTGGCCACCAGTGTACGTTGACGACTCTCCTACTGGCCACCAGTGTACGTTGACGACTCTCCTACTGGCCACCAGTGTACGTTGACTGGACTCTGACCTACTGGCCACCAGTGTACGTTGACGACTCTCCTACTGGCCACCAGTGTGTTGACGACTCTCCTACTGGCCACCAGTGTCGTTGACGACTCTCCTACTGGCCACCAGTGTAAGTTGACGACTCTCCTACTCCTAGTTGGACTCTCCTACCACCAGAGTAAAGTTGACGACTCTCCTACTGGCCACCAGAGTAAGTTGACGACTCTCCTACTGGCCACCAGAGTAAGTTGACGACTCTCCTACTGGCCACCAGTGTAAGGTTAGATCTAGACATGCATCTAAATCTCCCTTGATCCCTTGAAGCCGTATCCACATCCAGATTGCACTCCAGAGGCTACTGACAGGCGGTAAGGAAGTAATACAACGCTTCCTCACCGCCTGTTTTAACCCCATTTTTTGCGGACAATCGTGCAAGAAGCACATTCATTGCATGTGGCTGTGGGACAGTTTCCTGCATTTTCCATTGATTTGAATGCTGCCCACCTATTGCCACATGTCGGGTGAACTTTACATGCAGCAGCCGTGATGGTTTGCTTCGCGCCTGCAGCAAACATCCCCATCAGCTGCCTATTGCAACTTAAGGGGGGACAGTAAAAACGCAGTTCAACTGTGCATTTTTGCTGCCACCCAACCTCAAGTTTAAATTAATTCTAACAGGGCATACCTTCCACTGGCCACCATTGTATATGGCCACCATTGTTACTGACCACCAAGGGGGGGCCTCTCTTACTGACCATTAATGTACCAAGGCAGTTCTTCCATTGACCCCCATTGTAAATGACTATCTTTCCTACTGGCCACCAATGTATGGGGATCTTCTCCTTCTGACCACCAATGTAAGGGGGAGCCTCTCTTACAGACCACCAATGTAAGGGGGAAATCTTTTATACGATTTTAAATGTAAGGTGGCACTTTAGTTCTAACCACTAATGCAGTGGTCGGTCTCCAAACTGTGGCCCTTTGCTTGCTTTTATCTGGCCCTTGGGGTACGGTTTCATCGAAGGATACCAACAATGGGACATAATTCCCTCACTGACACCACTGAAGGGGCACAATTTGTCCCAATGACACAAATGATCAGGCCCAGTAACACCAATGTGGAGCACAATTCCTTGCAATGACACCAACAATAGGGCCCAATGACACCAAATGATGGGGCACAATTCCTCCCACTGACACAAACAATGGACCACTATTCCTCCCACGGACACTAACAAAAGGACCCAATGACACCAATGAAGGGGCACAATTTGTCCCAATGATCAGGCCCAGTAACACCAATGTAGAGCACAATTCCTTGTAATGACACCAACAATAGGACCCAATGACACCAATGATGGGGCACAATTCCTCCCACTGACACCAACGATGGAGGATTGTCTATTCCTACTAATGTCAGGACCTTTTCTACTCCCAATAGCCAAAGTCTTCCCCCCCTAAAGTCCAAAGGACAGTAAGCTGGCCCTTTGTTTAGAAAGTTTGGAGACCCCTGCTCTAATGTATAGGAGCCATTTTCCACTGACATCCAGTGTATGAGAGTCACTTTCTCACTGGCCACCATTCTGGACTTCTTTATTATTATTTCTACAATTTGCTGCCCATGCTAATATACCATAAGCTGTAGATATTTTAGCAGGGGTTCCCCAAGACCCATACTTTATGTGAAGGGTTCCATCACTGGTCTAGGTTGTCTCATCCCATGAAGGTTTTAATAGTAGCTAAACCCCCTGAAGATGTCTAGATGATGACCATCAACGCCGCGGTTGGCACATCCAGAGGTATTCAAGTGAATACCGCATGGCTTTCAAGAAGGCAGTAAGTGTCAGGACTACTACATATCTTGTTGACGAAGAGCAGCTAAAGGAAGATGTAAGCCTCGGAGAGTGAACTGTGCCTCCTCACCTGACCTCCTTTCTCATGGCAGAATTCGATGTTCTAATGCCATAAAAGTCGTTCCCTGGTGTTTTATGAAAGGTTTCGGAGAGATCACAGACTAGTAACTAGCATTAACCATGAAAGAAGAGCTACGGTCTCGTCTCATAGTTTAACCAAAATTAAAAAAAAAAAAAAAATCGCTTCTCCTCCCAGCAATGGCTGACATATTACAGCTCTGTATAACCTTCATAGAGACATACTCACAATGCCAGCAATTATCAGAGCCCCGACTCTGACAGAGGAGGACACCGAACACATACACTCACCTGCAGAAATACAGAAGAGGAGTGTCAAGGTTAAGGGCATATTAAAGTAGAACTCCAGCTAGAACTGACACATGCATAGTTCTGGATAGAGCAACGAAGGGCTGGAAACTAGATTTTCTATTGTCTGTGTCCCCATTTGGGATGTTTCTGCTCACTTAAAGTGGTTGTAAACCTCAGACATAAAATATAAACTTTCTATAGCAAGGGTATTGGATTAAAATTCACAGAAGTCTGCTCAGCAACGTTTTCTCCAGAGGTCCGAATCTCATGACAGCTTCACATCCTAGTCCCCCCTCCCCCACTTTACATCACGGCCTCCTTTACATCAGTGTCTTAAGTCCCCTCTTTCAAAATTTCAGACCTTCCTTTCACATCACAACCCCCCCCCCCTTTCACATCACAGCCCCCTCCTCACATTACAGCCCCCCAACATCACAATCCCCCTTGCAATCACAACCCTCTGCATCACAGCACCCTCTCCTCACATCACAACCCCCCCATTTCATTTCATCAGTCCCTCCACTTTCACATCACAGCCCCCAACATCACAATCACCCTTGCAATCACAACCCTCTGCATCACAGCACCCCCTCCTCACATTACAACCCCCCCATTTCATCATTCCCCCACTTTTACATCACAGCCCCCTCCTCACATTACAGCCCCCTATCATCACAATCCCCCTTGCAATCAGAAACCCTCTGCATCACAGCACCCCATCCTCGCATCACAACCCCCCCATTTCATCAGTCCCCCCATTTTCACATCACAGCCCCCTCCTCACATTAAAGCCCCCCAACATCACAATCCTCTGCATCACATCACCCCCCTCCTCACATCACAGCCCCCCTTTCATCCTAGTCCCCCCCCCCTTTCACATCAGAGCCACCCCCCTTACATCAGAGCCCCCACCCCTAACATCACAATCCCCCTCAGAATCACAATCCCCCCCTCCTCACATCACAGCCCACATTTTCTCATCAGAGCCCCCCAACATAATAGCCCCCACCCTGAACATCACAATCCCCCTTGCAATCATAACCCTCCTCATCAAAGCACCCCCCTCCTCACATCACATTCCCCCCTTTCATCCCAGTCCCCCCATTTCTCATCAGAGCCCGCCCCTCACATCACAGCCCCCTAACATAATAGCCCCCAACCCTAGCATTACAATCCCTCTTGCAATCACAACCATCTGCATCACAGCACCCCCCCTCCTCATATCACAGCTCCCCCTTTCATCTCAGTCCCCCCCCTCACACATCACAGCCCCCCAACATCATAGCCCCCACCCCTAACATCACAATCCCACTCACAACCTTCTGCATCACAGCTCCCCCTCCTCTCACCCCAGCCCCCCCTTTCACATTAGAGCCGCCTCCTCACATCAGAGCCCCCCAACATCTTAGCCCCCACCCCTAACATCACAATCCCCCTCAGAATTACAACCCTCCCCATCACAGCTCCCCCCCTCCTCACATCACAGTCCCCCCTTTTCTCAACAGAGCCCACCCCTCACATCACAGCCCCCCAACACAATAGTCCCCACCCCTAACATTACAAGCTCTCTTGCAATCACAACCCTCTGCATCACAGCACCCCCTCCTATCACAGCCCCCCCTTTCATCCCAGTCCCTCCCTTTCATATCAATACCCCCCCCGCACATCACAGCCCCCCAACATCATAGTCCCCACCCCTAACATCACAATCCCACTCACATTCACAATGTTCTTCATCACATCCCCCCCCCCCTCTTCACATCACAGCCCTTTGCAGTCATAGCCCTCCCATTAAACCATAGTCACTGTCACTCAGTCCTTGTCTGGACCGTGGTCCACCAATTAGCGACGCCTGCTCTATAGTGTGTACTTGTCTCAATTAGGAGCACTAAGTGTCATTGCTGTCTGTGGCTTCCTTCCTCTGCTATCAGCATGAATCACTTCTGACACTTTTTCCTGACACCAAGAGGAAAATAGTGACAGGGAAGAAGGACCTCCATAAGATTGACTGCTGTGTGAAGGGGGTGTGTCTTTTCCCTTCAATCAGCTCTCAGGGTTCTCCTCACTGAGCTCTGCAGAGTATAACTTTAGTTCTTTGCCCCTTTTTTTCTGAAATCTGAGACAAGCTTTATACATTCTGGACTTTGAATGCATGTAGAGAAGAGAAGACTTCAGAAAAACAGGTACAACTTATGTAGGCGGATTTGTTTAATTTCTGTGTATCACCTGAGGCCAGTCACTTCATTGGGTATATGTACTTGGCGTTCGGTCGTTGGCTGAAAAAAAATCCACTTGAAGACTGCAACTTCTATACGTATTGCGGTCTTCAAGTGAACTTCATTAAAATGGTCAGGGACTGCTTAGCAATCAGAAGGCGTTGACACAACCAACACTTTGGTATGAAGAATGTAACGTACAATACAGTGAATATAGTGCTGGAGTCTTAGTCCCCGGTCACACCGATCCAACTTTGAAATCACGTCATTCCGACTTGTGGTGCGACCTGCAAGACACAGCTGTCTATGGAAGTCGCACCTGAAGTAGAGCATGAACTACTGTAGAACAAACTACACTCCTGTAATCCACAGACGTACAGCCAAAAGAGCTACGGCAGTGCATCTCCTTTAACCACTTGAGCTCCTGAGGATTAACCCCCCTTAATGACCAGGCCTTTTTTTGCTGTTTGGCGCTGCACTAATTCAAATGATAATTGCGCGGTCATGCAATGCTGTACCCAAACGAAATTTACGTCCTTTTTTCACACAAATAGAGCTTTCTTTTGGTGGTATTTTATCACCTGTGCGCTTTTTTTTTTTTGAGTTATAAACAAAAAAAAAAATCACAAAAAATTTGAAAAAAAACCCAATATCTTCTACTTTCAGCTATAAAAAAAATATATCGTAAACTCAAAGTTAGTCATAAATTTAAGCCAAAATGTATTCTGCTACATGTTTTTGGTAAAAAAAAATCCCGTGCATTAGCGGGCAAACTGGCGCTATCTGGGAGGGGAGCTAACACTATCGGAAGTCGCCAGTGACACTGATACAGTGATCAGTAAAAATCGGATCACTGATCAGTGACACTGGTGACAGGGCAGTGAAGGGGTTAACTGGGGGTGAGGGGGTGGGGGGCGATCAAGGGGTTAAACGGGATTACTGGTGTACTGGCGGGCAATCTGGCGCTATCTGGGAGGGGCGCTAACACTATCGGAAGTCGCCAGCGACACTGATACAGTGATCAGTAAAAATCGATTCACTGATCAGTGACACTGGTGACAGGGCAGTGAAGGGGTTAACTGGGGGGGGGGTGATCAGGGGGTTAAACGTGTCCTAGAGTGTTCTAACTGTTAGTGTAGTGCTTTGTACTCACTGTTTGTATGTCTTCTTCTCTGTCTGGAACGGAATGTGTCCAGGCAGAGAAGAATGACATCATATCCTGTCCTGTGTAAATGTCAACACAGGACAGGATAGGACAGGGACCGATCATCTGATTTCAGCCAGACATCACTGGCTGAAATCTAATGATTGATCCCTCCGGGATCGAATGGTGTCACCCGTGGGTCGGCGGGAGCGCGCGCCCCCTGCCGGCGAAGGCCCGTTTTAAAACGTGGTTTTGCTCCCCAGTGCCACCCTGCACACGTATATATACAGTGGCAGGGCGGCAAGCGGTTAATTCCACAATTCCACCTTGTATTACAAGTGCGACGCACAAAAAGCCGAAAACGCCATGCGATTCTATATCAATAGACGTAGAAGAAAGATCTGTGATCTGTCCCCGACAAATGCCTCTTTCCTCAGAATTTGCAGATTTGAATCATAGCTCCTCCACTGGTCACACTGCTGCAATTTAACATCGTAAAATTTGAGTGCGATTTCCGAAGACTTTATTGCGAGGTGTGAAGATTTTCAACAATTTCTTGCAATTTGCTTTGCGATATTCTATGTATGTGAAATCACAATAAACTAGTGGTGCACCGAAATGAAAAATTCTGGTGCTGAAACCGATACCGAAAATTCAGAATGCATGTGGCCGAAAACCGAACCGAACCGTCTGTGTATGTGGGGGTGGGGAGGCTGCCATTCTTTTTTTTTATTTTATTTCTACTTTCATGTATATTGATTTTTTTTTAATTTATGATTTTATAGCTATCACATCGGGGACAAATAGTCCCCGATGTGATAGCATATGAGTGACAGGTCTCTTGTTTGGGGGGTGGGGGGCAGTGTGTGCAAGGAGGGGGCAGGAGGGGAGCAGTGTATACAGAGAGGGAGCAGTGAATACAGAGAGACTCCCTCACTGGCTGTCACTATATGTCGGTATTTAAGTGCAATTGCCGGCTTTTTCTTTTTCTTCACTATAGCTCACAGAATTAGCTGTCGCCTTCCCCGGAGCTAAAGGAAACTATTTCTTTTAACTCGGGGAAAGAAACTAAAAAGGACAGGTTGTTTAAAAAGGACAGGTTGTTTTTTAACTCGAGGAAAGAAACTAAAAAAGACAGGTTGTTTTCTTTTAACTCGGGGGAAAGAAACTAAAAGGAAACATTGTTTCTTTTAGCTGGGGGGAAAGTGACAGCTAATTATGTGAGCTATAGTGAAGAAAAAAAAAAAAAAAAGCCGGCAATTGAATTTAAAAACTGACACTGACCTATAGTGACAGCCAGTCACTGTATACACTGCTCCTCTCCTGCCTCTCTCCACCGCCCCCCCCCCCCCCCCCCACATCTGCAGTACACACAGTCTCCTGTATCGGCACCTGTATCGGCATTTCTATTTTCCGCCGATATGTTTTGGTGGCTGAATTTTCAGTGCATCCCTACAATAAACTGCAGAAAAAGTAACGCAAGAACTACTTCAGAAATCTCGTTGCAGCAAATCGCACGTTAGGACGTTGATGGTCATTAGATGTGATTTCAATTCGCAGATCGCACCGGTATGACCGAACACCTAAAGAGAACTATACTAAGAACACGGATCTAGGTAGGTAGAACATGCAAAGCGGTCACACACAGGAGCTAGGATCCAATGGCTGCACATTCTGAGGAAAGGGCCTTTGTCAGGGACACTACACATGTGTATCAAAATCATTGATATTATTTATTTCAGATACTTCTATAGTGCTGTCAATTTACATATATATTGTACATTCACATCAGTCCCTAACCCTCAAGGGGTGTACAATCTAAGGTCCCTAACTCACATTCATACATACACATACTAGGGACAATTTAGACAGGAGCCAATTCACCTCCCAGCATGTCTTTGGAGTGTAGGAGGAAACCAGATTTCCCAGAGGAAACCCACACAGGCACAAGGAGAACATGCAAACTCCAGGCAGGTGATGCTGTGGTTGGGATTCGAACCAACGACCCTGGTACTGCCAGGCGGAAGTGCTAACCATTAACCACTGTGCTGCCCTATCATCTTCTAGAGCGACTTGTAGAGTGGGTTAGGTGACATCGAGTCCATTGGACACGCACACATATTTGTAGCTTTGAAAAGAATAATCTGCTGTTCCCCAGTCCGTACCCCCGGCGGCAGGGCTAGTAGAAACCTCCCCAGGAGATTGGAGACCCCCATGTAGGGTGCTGTGTGAGGGGGGCTTGTTTGGAGTGGGGTTGTGTCGAGGGTCTGATTAGGGTGCATTGACACCTCTATGCTGGAGCTTCAGGGATAGTGAAAGACTTAAGCCAGCCATACATGGATCAAAATCCGGCTGGTTCACCATGGTCGCATCGTGGGCACTCATTGGCTGCCAATCACCGAGCTGGGCCCCAAATTGTGTTCACAATGAGCAATCTGCGACTCATCGAACCATCCCTGCCCACTCCTTATTAGCTGCGGAGTGCCCCCCCCCCTGGATTTCAGTCATTGGGAAAAGTCATGCATCCTCTTTGCGTCTATTTGCCCTGCGCGTAAAAGCGCTCCCGTCGGTAACTGTGATTGGCTGGACAGGGGATGGAGGTAAATTCTGCACTCCTGTGGTGGAATGAAGGTGTGAGGAGGGTGACCCCCGGAACGCAAAGCGGGGTATTACACCTCTCACCACAGTGTATTTTAGTTTTGGACAGAGTAGAAATCAATTAAGTCATTCAGTGTGTCACTGGGGAGATTTCCCTCCACTTCCTGTCCTAAATACACCACAGGAAATGAGAAGAAATCTCTCCTAGTTGTCAAAAGGTGGACCCGTCAGAACATTTCCCTTCATTTCCCATCCTGGTGACACAACAGGAAGTAAAAGGAAATCTTCAGCAAATCAGGGTAGATAGAACTGGTGTCCCTATTGCCTGATTTCTCCTCATTTGCTTTCCTGATGAGCTTTTAAGTTTTGTGTGGGGGGGGGGGGGGTTTACAAGTAGCTGGTCCTTGCCTAGGGCACAAAATAGCCTATCACCGGCCCTGCAGGTACCTACCCTCTATATTGCACAGGATTCAGGAGTGCGCATCGCACACAGGAGCGCAGATCGCACAGACAACACGGGACTGCGCATCGCACAGACAACATGGGAGTGCGGATCACACAGACAACACGGGACTGCGGATCGCCACGGACTCTGCGGATCGCACACGGGATTGCGGATCGCACAGACAACACGGGACTGCGGATTGCACACCGGACTGCAGATCACACAGACAACACGGGACTGTGTATCGCACAGACAATACGGGACTGCGGATCGCACACGGAACTGCGGATCACACAGACAACACGGGACAGAGGATCGCACAGACGGGACAGAGGATCGCACAGACAACACGGGACAGAGGACAACACGGGACTGAGGATCGCACAGACAACACGGGACAGCGGATCGCACACGGGACTGAGGATCGCACACGGGGACTGCGGATCGCACACGGGACTGAGGATCGCACACGGGAGAGGATCGCAACACAGGACACGGGGCGGATCGCACACTGCGGGACTGAGGATCGCACAGAGAAAACAGGGGCCTGCGGATCGCACACGGGACTGAGGATCGCACACGGGACTGCGGATCGCACACGGGACTGAGGATCGCACACGGGACTGAGGATCGCACACGGGACTGAGGATCGCACACGGGGCTGAGGATCGCACACGGGGCTGAGGATCGCACACGGGGCTGCGGATCGCACACGGGGCTGCGGATCGCACAGACAACACGGGACTGCGGATCGCACACAGGACTGCATAGCACATGGAGTAGAGGGTTCAGGAGTGTAATTCACACAGTGCTCAGACATAAGTGACACACTGGCCAGTGTACAACAAATATTGCACCCCTCCCCCCATCCCCACTACAGAGTCAGACCTGTCTCCACTCCTGGCTCTCCTTGCAGTCTGAAGACATGCAGAGCACATGGCAGAGCACATGGCAGAGTACATGCAGAGCACATGTAGGCAGGCTGCAACTTACTTCTTAGATCCCACTGTATGGTACATTCCCTCTGTTCCGGGTGTCTTTTTTCTGGGCTGTGAGGGGGAGGGGGACAGAAACTGAGTGACTTGCTTATGAACCAATCACCTGTGATTCTAGCAACTCCATCATCAGCTCTCCCCTCCCCCTCCAATCCCAGGCTGCTCTCTGTACAAAGCTCTGGGCAGCCTGCAGCGCACTCAGACATTCTCCCCAAAGATCGCATTTAGCAGCTGCTAACCGATAAAGTACCTGGCCTATCCCCCCCCCCCCCATATACCTGCAATCATTGGGCACATCCAACGAAGTCTTCTGATAGATGCAGATCACAAAGAATCCAACCTCAACTAAACTCTGAAATATCGGGGTTGGACAAAATAATGGAAACACTGGGTAAAAGAGCAAAATTGTTACCCGATATGGTGTTGGACCACCTTTGGCATCCAAGACGGCCTGCATTCTCCTGGAAATAGACAAATATCAGTCTTGGATGGCGGATAATGGAATCTGATTCAACTCATTATTCAAAAATCGTTCCAGTCCTCGCAGAGGATGGAGGCAGACAACAAACCTGAACCTTGTTCTCCAAAATGGACCATAGTGGTTCTATGATATTGAGGTCCAGTGACTGCGGTGCCCAGAGAAGGGGCGACACTTCATCTGCATGCTCATCAAACCATGAATTGACAACACCAGCTGTGTGACTTGGAGATTATGGTCTTGGTAAATGGCTCTGTCTTCGGGAAACAATGTCTGCACCATGGGGGGGGGAATATGGTTGGCCAAAATTTGTACATAGTCACTAGCAGTGACCACCTTTCAAGGTGATGATGGGGCCTGCAGAATACCAGGATATGGCCGCCACCATGCTTTACCGCCAACGATTGTGCCGCCACCATGCTTTACCGCCAACGATTGTGCCGCCACCATGCTTTACCGCCAACGATTGTGCCGCCACCATGCTTTACCGCCAACGATTGTGCCGCCACCATGCTTTACCGCCAACGATTGTGCCGCCACCATGCTTTACCGCCAACGATTGTGCCGCCACCATGCTTTACCGTCAACGATTGTGCCGCCACCATGCTTTACCGCCAACGATTGTGCCGCCACCATGCTTTACCGCCAACGATTGTGCCGCCACCATGCTTTACCTTCAAAGATTGTGCCGCCACCATGCTTTACCGCCAACGATTGTGCCGCCACCATGCTTTACCGCCAACGATTGTGCCGCCACCATGCTTTACCGCCAACGATTGTGCCGCCACCATGCTTTACCGCCAACGATTGTGCCGCAACCATGCTTTACCGCCAACGATTGTGCCGCCACCATGCTTTACCGCCAACGATTGTGCCGCCACCATGCTTTACCGCCAACGATTGTGCCGCCACCATGCTTTACCGCCAACGTTTGTGCCGCCACCATGCTTTACCGCCAACGATTGTGCCGCCACCATGCTTTACCGCCAACGATTGTGCCGCCACCATGCTTTACCGCCAACGATTGTGCCGCCACCATGCTTTACCGCCAACGATTGTGCCGCCACCATGCTTTACCGCCAACGATTGTGCCGCCACCATGCTTTACCGCCAACGATTGTGCCGCCACCCTGCTTTACCTTCAACGATTGTGCCGCCACCATGCTTTACCGCTGGAACAAGACAGTCCTGGTTGTAAGCTCGGGGATGGTGTTCACCACACATAAACATGTCCGGTGGTTGGGAACAGGGTGAAGCTCGATTCATCGGACCCTACTACAGTCTTCCATTGATGGACAGTCCACCATTTATGGGTGTGGCACCACATTCTCCTCTTCTGAGCATAATGCAGGCCATAGACGGGCCGTTTATCGGCCCGATAAATGAAAAATCGGTCGTTGCCGATGCTGATGCTGCCACCAATGCTCATGAAAGAATGGGACTAGAAACCAGTTTGACAGAGACAGGGGAGCACACCATACAATGTAACAGCAATACAAATACATTATGTTTTTATTTGGATACAAATGGATACATTTGTTCCAACCGCAAGACTTTTTCATATAAAATATAATAGCGGAAGAAGAACGGAGCCGCCGTTCAGTGACACCTGTACATTCTTATTCTTATTATTATTATTCTTTTTGTTCTGTTTCTTCTTCATTTTTTTCTTCTTCTTCTATTTCTTCTTCACCTACAGAGTGTGAGATGTAGGCCCTTTTTCACCCTGCCTGTCAGCTGGTAAAATTCTCCCTCAGACAATATTTGTGACTGCCAAAGGATTCAAAAGGGTTCAGATTTGTTTGCAACACAATACAGCTCTGTCCTTGCAAACCCAACACTTTCATGAATTCTTAAAAAAAAAGTGATCCACATATGTCCGAGTAGTCTTGTCACTTTGTATAAATTCCCCTATAAGGAAATTTTATGTGTACTTGTTGGAGATAAAATCCCCTTTCATTTAATAAGGTCTATCAATTCCCCACAATTATTGACATCACTAAGATCCAAGGCACAAGTGGCTCATAGCCAAGTTCTGTCACTAATTTATTGAACTGAAAGACTAAATAGGTTCACTAATGACATTTCTGACCATTCATACTGAGCATATGATGACATATTGCAGAGGTTAGGTTCAGTGAAAAGCACAGAATGAGAAATAGATCTACAGCATCGACAGATGGCGTTATATACTATCTTGGCCCTACCCATATCCCCGCTGATCCTTCATAGTCCAGTGGAGGTCTCACACCATTTTATCCCTTAGTAGTCCTGTACCCACACTTCTTTTTCTTCTTCTTCATCATTTTTCTTCTTCCCTTCTTCTTCTTCTTTTTTCTTCTTTTTTCTTCTTCTTCTTTTTCTTTTTCTTTTTCTTCTTCTTCTTTTTCGACTTTTTCTTCTTTTTTTTCTTTTTCGACTTCTTCTTCTTTTTTCTTCTTTTTCTTTTTCTACTTCCTCTTTTTCGACTTTTCTTCTTCTTCTTCTTTTTCTTCTTCTTTTCTTTTTCTTCTTCTTCTTTTTCGACTTTTTCGACTTTTTCTTATTCTTCTTTTTCTTCTTCTTTTTCAACTTTTTTTTTTTCTTCTTCTTCTTTTTCTTCTTTTTTTTCTTCTTCTTTTTCTTTTTTTTCTTCTTCTTTTTCTTCTTTTTCTTCTTTTTTTCTTCTTCTTTTTTCTTTTTTTTTTTTCTCTTCTTCTTTTTTTTCTTGTAGGTCACGGCTCATGCACATATTTTTTATCGGTAAAACAATCGGCCGATTTGCCCATCATTGCTGGGAAAATCAGCTGATCGTCCAAATCGGATGCAAATTTTCCAACATGACTGATAAAAAAACTGCAAAAAACCCGAAAAATGGCTAACCAATTAACCCACGAACAGTGCGAAAATCGGCCGATTTTTTTTTTTTTTTTTTTTTTTTGTCCGAAAAATCGGCCGATTTTCGACCCGTCTGTGGCCGGCATTAGTCCTCAAGCACACTGGACATTTTGAGGCTGCATGCACATGGGGTGTTTTGACAATGCTAGTAACATTAGCTGTGTAACGTCACGTTAAAAACATGAGTTTTTCTGCTTTTTTTAGCGGTTTTGCAGCGTTTTGCCGCATTTTTCCACATTTTAGTTTTTTAACCAAGCGGTTTACAGCGTTTTGCTGTGTTTTTCAGCATTAGAGCTTTTTTACAGCTAAAAACTCCTCTAGAAACCCACTAGTCCTGGGCTGTTTTCCAGCCAAAAAAAACGTTGATTCCAGTCTATGTGTGCATGGACACATAGGATAACATGCTGGGGGGTTTACTAGCTGTAGAATAAAACGTCATTTTACTGTGCTTTAGGTATGGATGAACACAGTGAGTGATCAGTACCGATCACTCATTGTGTTCATTCAGGAAAGGAAGGGGCTGGTAAATGTGACATATTTACTAAACCTTCCCCCACTCTCCATCCTGAAGGATCCTATTGTGTGCTTGCAGCTGCTGGTGGAAGGAGAGGAGGGAAGCCGACAGCACTGTTGGGGCACATAGAGAAGCCTGGGCAGCAGGGGGAAACATATAGTGCACAAGGAGGGTGATGGGGCAATAACTGGAACCAATCCCCTGTATGGCTCTCTCTGCAGTAGCAGAAAGACAGTAGGAGAGCAGAAGAAACCAGCTGCTGCAGAGAGCCATACAGGGGATCAGTCCCAGTAATTGCCCCCTCCGCTGTGCTGATCATCCTCCCCGCCCACATCTGATTCATCTAGCTGCCTGGGTCCCCCTGCTGTCCAGGGCCCCATACAGGAGGACTGGTGGTACCCCTTTATCCACAGCCCTGATCCTAGTATCGGAAAATGCATCTCATAGTTACATAGTCTGGCTGAAAAAAGACAAACGTCCATCCAGTTCAACCATAAAAAAGAAAAAAGTTATAATCCTATACCCACAGTTGATCCAGAGGAAGGCAACAACCCCAGCAAAACATGATCCAATTTGCTCCTGCAGGGGAAATCGGATATTCCCTGGATCAACTTTACCTATAAATGTTAGTATCCAGTTATATTCTGTGTATCTAAGAAAGAATCCAGGACTTTTTTCAAGCAATTCACTGAGCTGGCCAGAACCAACTCTTGAAGGAGTCTATTCCACATGTTCACAGCTCTTACTGTGAAGAAACCTTTCCATGTTTGGAGATTACATTTCTTTTCCTCCTCTGGCTGCCTCTGCCTGTGAGTCAAAAATAAAAAGGTCTATGGATGCGCCTACCTCCTGGGCCCCTCTAATTGAAATTATGGAGCCCAAGGAAATGTTATGGACTAACCTTTACTTCCATGTGTGCCATGTGTGTTGGGGCACAGTGGGGCTCCCGTGCCCTCAGGGCCTGTGTGCACTGCACACATGGATGATACTCCGCTTCATATACCCAGTAAAGCGACTGACTGCAGGTGATACAGAGATACAACAAATCCTCCTACATAAGTTGTACCTGTTTATGTGCAGCCATCTTTCCCCTATATGCATTCAAAGGGAGCGGAGAGCTGACGTTACACTCTGCAGAGCTCAGTGAGGAGAGATCTGAGAATTGATTGGAGGGATGAGACACCCCACCCCCTTCACACAGCACA